TATTTTATTTTTATTTATTTATTTTTTTTTTTTGAGACGGAGTTTGGCTCTTGTTACCCAGGCTGGAGTGCAATGGCGTGATCTCGGCTCACCGCAACCTCCGCCTCCTGGGTTCAGGCAATTCTCCTGCCTCAGCCTCCTGAGTAGCTGGGATTACAGGCACGCGCCACCATGCCCAGCTAATTTTTTTTGTATTTTTAGTAGAGACGGGGTTTCACCATGTTGACCAGGATGGTCTCGATCTCTCGACCTCGTGATCCACCCGCCTCGGCCTCCCAAAGTGCTGGGATTACAGGCTTGAGCCACCGCGCCCGGCCATTATAGTATTTTAAATGCCAATGAGTTCTTTTTCTTTTGTATGAACTTAGGAAGGTATTATCATAAAGCACTTTTGACAAGCTAATCAAATAAAACAATATAAAATTTAATTATTAGCTCTCTAAAGATTTTATGAACCAGATTGTTTCTATTGCCAAAATCATTTAGGTACTTTAGGAATCTCAGAATCCTCTTAAACCATTCATTTTGTGCTTAAAATAGTGGTGTTTTTTGTTTGTTTGTTTTTGTTTTTGTTTTTTACATGCTCACTACAAAATATCAATCATAGAAAAATAGAAAGAAAATATAAAACCACTAAAATTCTACATCTCAGGTAAAACTATTATTGATATTCTTGTGGACATCTGAGTAAGCACAGAAACGCACACACAAGCATACACCCAGTTTTATATAGAAAGGTTAAAACTGTATGTTATATGATTTTCTATTACTTATTTTTAAGAGATTTGTTTTTAATCTACTCTTTTGTTGTTTCTGTGTCAGTAAAGATAGATGTACATCATAATTTTTAATGGTTGCATTATACATATCATATACACTATATATACCATATCTGATCTCCTGTTGATAATACTTAGATTGCATCTTTTTTTCTTCTGTTATGTGTTTAGTAACATCTCTGCACACTAGTCATTTTGCATTTGTACAATTATCTTCTTAAGACAAAATCCTAGATGTCTGATAATTGCCAAACTGTGTTCTAGAATTACTTCAGTTGACACTCCCAATAGCAGCATAATAGAATGACTGCTTTTTCGCAGTTTTCTAATATTGGATTTTGTCTTTCTTAAACATTGGCAAATGATAAAAATATGTATTATCTTAAAATTTGCATCTCTTTATTATTGAAGTTTACATAATTTTAAGTGCTTATTGGCCATCAGTTTCTTTCTCTCTCTCTCTCTCTCTCTCTCTCTCTCTCTCTCTCTCTCTCTCTTTCTATCAAATAGAGATGGGGTCTTACTGCATTGCTCAGGCTGGTCTCAAACTCCTGGCCTCAAGTGATTCTTCCACCATGGCCTCCCAGAGTGCTGGGATTGTAGACATGAGCCACTGTGCCTGGCTTTGGCCATTAGTTTTTCTTCTTTGATCAATTGCTTAAATATTTTCATTGGGATGGTTAGCTTTTTCTATTTTCTTTTTCTTTTCCTTTTACAAACTCTGAAGTTCTTACAATGGGATGATTGTGTTTTGTATTGACCTGTAGGAAATCTGTGAATATTGTTATATTGCTATTTAGATTTCGAGTTTATGATTTGACTTTTAACTCTTCACAGAATGATTTTTAAATTAAACTAAATGTCACTTATAAATGTCATTTATTTTCTTTGTTACAAACATTTATTGATGTTTCATATTATACTTTCAAGCTTTTGTATTACAGTTAAGAATGGCCTTTGTCATTTCAGGATTGCAGAAATACTTACCAATATTTTCTCATAGACATAGGGTTTAATTTTTTTATATGATAATCTTTGATCCATCTGGGATTTATATTTTATCAAAAGAAAGGTAAGAAGCCAGTAATATTTTTACCCCAATTGCTGGCTAGTTGAGAGACTTCATGAATATCCAATTTTTACTAGTGATTTAAAGTGACTCCTTTTATATTCAATTCCCTTATATATTTGAATCCCTTTGAACCTATCCTGTTTAATTGATTTTTGAATAATTATTTTGGGGATTTTATTTCTGTGACTTTATACTTTTAAAAAATAGGATAAGTATCCCTTCATTATTCTTTTTCAAATTATCTGTATATTTTTACATATTGACTTAGTGAACTTTAAAATCATTAGGTCAGATTAACAAAAGCCATGTCAGTTTATTCAGTTGGGGTTATGTGGTATTTATAGATTGAGGGGAAATTGGTACTTTTATAATACTAGATTTTCTTATTGAGAAAGCAAGTTTTTTTCACCATGGATTTAAGTATTTTAAAAAATATACCTCAGTAGCATTTTGTATTTTCTTCACATAGGCTCTAGGCATTATTTTTAAAAAACTTTTTCCTAGATGTTTTTAGTTGTTGTTAGTGGCATAATCTCCACACTATTTTCTAATTGTTAATGGTTAAAGCATAAGATGTTAACTTTTGTTTATTTATTTTATATCCAGACACTTTAGTGAGCACTTATTTTTTTTCTGGTAATATTTCAGTTGATTTTAGCCTTACAAAATCTCAGCAGGTGGAAATGAAGAGACTAAAGAAGTAAATATAACTACCTTATTGTAGGATGTCTTAAAACCATTATAGAATGGTGCCTAAAGTAGAACAGAGTTTATGAAATATAATTTATACTTCCAGGGCAGACTGAATATGGACTAATTATCATGATTGAAATACAATGTGTCAGCCTAAGTGTACTGGAATGAATAAACATGCCATTTTAATGAGATTATCTGATATTCTGAAATGTCCTTTGTACTCCATTAATCTCTCAGTATTAAACTTTGTGAATTTTGTATTATTTATATAGCCAGGAAAAAGATGGATGTGATTGTTACTTAAGTGGAAAGGCATAGTTCTAGTAAGGAAAATGTGAAGAAATGGGAGAGAAAATGGATTTCCTCAAAATAAGAGTTTACTAGGTTGTGAATTCTGGCTTGCTAATTTTTTAAATAATCCACAAGTGAAATCTAACGTCTTTTTTGGGTCGTAATCTTTCCTACACCCCCAATCCCAGTAAGTAGATATAAAAATGGTCTGACAATGCCATCTGGTGGCCTGCTGGGGAATTGTGTAAATTAATCTCTACCTACTGGACTTAATTTTTGGTGAACCTGAGGCAACATTCTGGGGTCATGTCTTGGATGCCACATCCAGGTTTGAGAGCAGGCAGTTTATGCTGGGGCTGTAGACAAAGAGAGATGAGAAATCTAAGTCCAGGTATGGGAAAAGCTGCTGAGGAAACAAGGAAGGTGCCCAAAAGGCCACATTCACAGGAGCAGGTAGAGAACAGGGACTAGGTTTTCTTTTTCTCTCCCTCCTCCCTTTTCCCTCTTCCTTACTCCTTCCCTCCCTCTCTTCTTCCGAGTTACTTTTCCCCACACTGCCTGCCTTTTTCTTAGTTCTTATTCTTGCATTCTCAGGAAAGCCTCTCTTTCTCTTCCCTTATTTTGTTTGGGAGCCACATCATAATCCTAACTACAGCTGATAAACCTAGTGCTTGAAGGGTCATCTTTACTAACGAAAAGAGAAGGCAGAAATTGGCAAATGAAGAACCAGCATCATGAATGCCTGAATCCTTGGAAGGGATCAGAAGTCCCCTTCAACATTAACATAGCCTCGGGTTTTCCCCTTCACCCAACCGGATTTCCCCATTTGCCTGCACGCAGGATTTCCGTCTCTTCTACTCACTGCCATATCCCCAACACCTGGAACAGTAGCTGTCCAGTGAAACGAGCTCCATTAATACTTGTTAAAGGAACTCATTCTAGAGGAATAAGAACATCTGGCTCTTTTTTTTTTTTTTTTTTTTTACTATATTTCTATTTTGTCTTCCTGTAAGTGTTGCAGATGCTAATTTTCATTGTGAAAGTATGCTTTTGGACTTTCGTGGGATAATTTAAGTATTAAAGGATATTTCTAGCAGAAATTGTTTTTTAAGTTCTAACCTACCAACTGACCAACTTTCAGAAAATAACCTGTTGGTAAGTTAGGGACTCTCTGTATCTTTCCTTTTAATGTTACAAGAATTATCTTTTATATACATAAAGGAAGTAAAAAGAACAACATAACGACCAGCTTTTTTCAGCCTTTGCTTCTCAAGTGCTCTTAGCTTACCAAAATAGAAGCTAAGACTATTAAATATGAGGAAAACACAGGTTTGGAAAGCTGAAAAATACTAAGCATTTGGCAGAACATCTTTTCTGTATATGTTTTCTCTGTTTGCAGAGACTCGTTTGCATTACAAATCCTTGATAACAGACTTGGAGTAATATTTATTCCTTCTGTAGAACTAAACACAGAGAAAATGTTGGATTTGCCTAATATCTTTCAGAATTGTATCCTTGTTTTGTGATTCTCCTAAGAACCGGAGAGAGAAAGCAGGCTGTTTTTATTTTTTAGATTGTTCCTCTGATACTGCTGTTGTGTGAGAATTTTCTGTGGGTAAAAAAAATAATAATGATGATCATTTCTGCTTCCCACTACAGCACTCAACTATCTCACAAATCTGTGTGATCTTAAAGAAATGCTTTTGCTGTAAAGCTAAAATGAATTAAAAGCTGGCCTAAATTAAGACAGTTGGGTGATCACTGGTTGTATAATATCAGAGTGTGGCAGACTTTGGTTAAGTTTTGAGAATGTGTCACAATATCCCACATCAGAATTGATGTGTTGCCCTCACTGGTTCTGGTGGCTGGGGACATGGGGAGGGGGAGCTCATTGACTACATGGACTGTGAAAAACTATAAAGCATGTGAAGAGCATGGACTTACATTAGAGTCAGAGGGCTCTCAGGCTACAACCTGGCAATGCCTGTGTGTGACCTGGAATAAAATAGGTAACATCTCAGGGCCTTAGTTGACCTTTCTGCAAAATGGGAGTAATGATGCCTACCTAGAAGGGCTGTTGTGCGTATTCGGCTGGCAGGACTTGCTCAGTTGACCAGTTATGATCTCAGCGTTCACCTGTTATTTTTCCATGTCTCTACTAGGTACCTTGGGATCACAAGGCCCCTCACGTACCCTGTGAGGCAGAATGGGAAATGCATGGCGAAGATGATTCTCTCCGTCTGGCTTCTCTCCGCCTCCATCACTTTACCTCCGCTCTTCGGATGGGCCCAGAATGTAAATGATGATAAGGTGTGCTTGATCAGCCAGGACTTTGGCTACACCATTTATTCTACCGCAGTAGCGTTTTATATCCCCATGTCCGTCATGCTTTTCATGTACTACCAGATTTACAAGGCTGCCAGGAAGAGCGCTGCGAAACACAAGTTCCCTGGCTTCCCTAGAGTGGAGCCAGACAGTGTCATCGCCCTGAATGGCATAGTGAAGCTCCAGAAGGAGGTGGAAGAGTGTGCAAACCTTTCGAGACTCCTCAAGCATGAAAGGAAAAACATCTCCATCTTTAAGCGGGAACAGAAAGCAGCCACAACCCTGGGGATCATTGTCGGGGCCTTTACCGTGTGCTGGCTGCCCTTTTTCCTCCTCTCGACAGCCAGACCCTTCATCTGTGGCACTGCCTGCAGCTGCATCCCACTGTGGGTGGAGAGGACATTTCTGTGGCTAGGGTATGCAAACTCTCTCATTAACCCTTTTATATATGCCTTCTTCAACCGGGACCTGAGGACCACCTATCGCAGCCTGCTCCAGTGCCAGTACCGGAATATCAACCGGAAGCTCTCGGCTGCAGGCATGCATGAAGCCCTGAAACTTGCTGAGAGGCCAGAGAGACCTGAGATTGTGCTGTAAGGTCATTTATCGCTATTTTCCTCTTATCCCCTAAACCCTTTTATGCAGCTTTTTGAAGCACACCACAGAAAGCTTCCTGAATGAGTAGCTAGCTTACTCTTTACTAAACATACCAGATTTGAATGACAACAGTATAGACTCCAGTCTGGCACTCAGTAATATCCCAGAAGCCAAAGAGTGGTACTTAGTTAGATTGGTAGATGAGACTAATTTGCTGATGAATTGCAATTGATGTGACTGACAACAAGGCAGGCAATATTTTCCATTCTTTCTCCATAAATGACATCCAGATTCTGTCTTTACATCTGAATTTGTGCAACATTATAATTTTCGTTGCTATTATTCTTCTGTCTGGTAAAACTTTTTTGATGACCTCATCCTTCACAGATAAATTCTTCTTTTGAGGTAGGAAGCACAACGATCCTTCCAGTATGCAGTTAATATTCACCTGGGGTGAAAGGAGGCAGCCCAGGTAAAAGAAGAGTGGTTGGTGTGGGGAGATGCCAGAATGAGGCAAGGTCTTTAAAAGCCACGAGAGCCGGACAAGGTGGAGCGCCTCTGTACTCCTAGCCACTTGGGAGGTTGAGGTGGGAGGATAGCCTGAGCCCAGGAGTTGGAGGTTACAGTGAGCTATGATCATGCCATTGCACTCCAACCTGGTTGACAGAGAAAGACCCACCTCTGAAAAATGAAAAGAGCCACAGGAGCTTTTAGGAAATGCTCCTGGCCATCTTGGTAGGCAAGAACTGATAAAGAGTTGTTGAATTTGTCTAAGAAGTCTTAGTGACTTTCAAGGAAGCAATTATAATAGGGTCTTGAGATCGGAAAAAGGATCTGATGGTGATGGAGAAATGGAAATTTCGGAAGTGACCCACATGTTAAAAAATTGGCATTGTAAAGAAGGAAGGAGATACAATACTAGTTAGACGTGTCAGCATGTCAAATGAAGACTTTGTTTTAAATTTGAGGTGGAGGAGATTCCTTCATGTTTGAAAGCCAAGGGAAAAAGAAACTTGGAATGAAAAGTTGGAAGATGCTGGTGAGAGAGTGAGCAGATTAATGTTGGAGGCCTCTCTCTTCACTGAGCCTGGCAGGAAGGAGTAGACTAGAGAACCATGGACCACTCTAGCTGATAGGGGCCTTCCCAATCATCTTGTCCAGCCCTGTCATTCAGCAGAAGAGCTAACTGGGAGTTGAAAAGTGAGATAACTCACACTTAGCTAGTGTCACAACTAAGTCTAGATCCCACATCATCTGAATCCCAGTGCTGCTCATTTTTCTTATACTAGACCGTCTTTATCTTACAATTGAAAGTTGCAAGACTGCAGCTATGCTAATTCTTAAGCTGAGTGTAGCTTCACAGGCATTCATGTTTACTTCTATATACTCTTTGGTATATATGAAATTGTTCACAATATAAAAAGTAATACTAAAAAAATGTAATTTTAGGTTCCAGAACATGAACTGTGAACAAATCCAGAGATCTTACTATGCCTATAAGAGTTCATTGAATTGACCCCTAGGATTTTCCCACCAGATTCTGAATTTCTTCAGAGAAGGAACTATGTCTTAATCAGATTTCTTTCTGCAGAATCTAGTACAGTGCCTGACATGTAATAGATGATAAATAAAAGTAATAACTACTAACCATTATTGAACACCTGCTACTTGCTAAACAGCATGCTACCTGCAGAATAGATGCTTCTAGCATCCCCACCACCTTTCAGAAGGACAAATTAAGGCTCAGGAACATAAAGTAATTGACCTATGGTAGTGGTAGCTGTGGTATGAATCACTCTGATGATTGTATTGAATGTTATGCAATATTACTTGTCAAGTAACTTCAGTTTATAGGCAGTGAAGAGTCTCAGAATATTTTTGAGCTGGAGACTACCTATAAGCTCTCTGAGAAGACAATGAAAATGACTTGTTACTCTAAGTAAGTAAAGTTTATTAGACTTACTGTGCTACAAGTGGACACCTCCTAGACAGTCTTAGTAGTTTCTCAGAAGAAGGAAATTAGGCAAGGATATCGACAGAGTTTTGGGGCTTGTGCTGGGTGATTTGAAGTTGGGGATTAGGCAGAGTTTATGATATAATAGCTTTTAGTAAGTACAGCTAGATGAGGACTGTGAAGCAAGTGTTAATGAGCAAGCTATTAGTCTTGAAAAGTAGGCTATTTTAGTTCACATATAGTCTTATCTTCTGAAAGTAACTATTTCCTAGAACAAATAGCTAGGTTATTTTGCCTGCCTCCAGCATTGTTTAGCACAGGAAAAGGAAAGCATGTTGGTTTTAGTTCTCAGGAGTAACATGCTGAGTGATGTGATTTAGGAAGGTCTCCCCAGCAATAGTGAGGAGGGTAGACAAGGGGAAGATGGTTGCCAGGAGATCCAGTTAAGTAGCCAGTGTATAAACTAGGAAAGGACAGATAAAGTCATGAGGTAGGAAACACTGCTATATTTGTATGCATCCTATAGGGTCAAAGAAATTGAAAATAATTTTGTTGGATATTTTAGTTAATAATTCAGAGATAATTCAGATAGATCACACAATAGTAATCTTTAAAATGTAACACAAAAAGGCTTTCCAATTTAAAATAATAACATGGGTTTCCTGAGGATTCACTCTCAGGTACTTTGGTGAGCACTTCAGGTGAATTTGATCAATTAATCGTCAAACGTTTATGATAAGTTAGTTTTCTTCATTTCCATTCTGAAAATAACAAAACAAGGGCTTGGAGAAGTCAAATAATTTCCCCACAGTCATACAGAGAGTGATAGAGCTGGGTTTGAGCCCAGGATGTCTGTGTTCAAAAGTGCTTTTAATATGTATGCTACTGTGCCTTTTATAAAAATAAATCAGCTAACATTAAATCTAAAGATACTTGTCTTTATATCTTCAGCTAGTCTGGAGGCTTGGGTGTTATTTTCTTGTTAGCTTAAAACAGGGGTCAGCAAACTTTAACTGTGAAGGACCAGGTGGTAAATATTTTAAGCATTGCTAACCGTATGGTCTCTACTGAAACTACTCATGTCAGCCTTTGTCACTGAATAAGTAAACAGATGGATAGGCCTGTGTACCAATAAAACTTTATTTGTGAAAAGAGGCTTCTAGCTGTATTTAGCCCACAGGCCATAGTTTGGTGTATCGTCTTTACATCTCTCTCAGTTTAAATTTCTAATTACAGAATATTCACTTCATTAAGGATGATTAGCCTAAAAATGTCCATCAGCTGTAGGAAATTTCTAATATAGCTTCCATGCATTGAGGAAGATACAGAAAACATATTCTTTCATGTCCTTGGGCATATATTTTTGTTGGACGTACCTTATACAAACAGACATATGTTGCTATGGCCTGAATGTTTGTGTCTCCTGCAAAATTCATATTTTGAAACAAAATTCCCAATGCAATAGTATGAAAATATGGGTTCTTTAGGAGATAATTAGGTCATAAGGACAGGGCCCTCATGAATGGGATTAGTGCCCTTATCAAAGAGGCCTGAAGGAGCTCGTTCACAGCTTCTACCATGTGAGGATGCAGCTGGAAGTTACCATCTATGAAGCAGACAGCGAGCCCGCACCAGACATGGGATCTTCTGGTGCCTTAATCTTGGATTTCTCAGCCTCTAGGACTATGAGAAATAAATTTCTGTTGTTTATAAGCTACCAGTTTATGGTATTTTGTTACAGCAGCCTGGTTAGGCTAAGACATGTGCACACTCAACCTTTTTATAATAAGGAAAGGTGGAGAGAGGAAAAGCTATAGGATTCAAAGGAAAGGAAAATAACTCGGAGCTTACACTAACTCTGATCAGAGTAGACTTCCTGAAGGACATGGGCTTAAGCATGTCTATGAAGATGGTCAAAGCATTTGTAGCCAAAGGAGAGCAGAAATGGTATTCCAGGTGAAGAGCACTTTTTTGGTAAGGGCACCAGTGTGGGAGCTTATCAAAGGACCATCTGGCTGAAGCTAAGCATTTGGGTGCAGGAACTGTTGGAGATCAAAGCAGAAAAGTAGTTCGAGACAAAATTATAAAGGATCTTCTGTGACAGCTCCAAGAATTAGGGCTTTCAGTATTGACAGATTGTTCTTAAGCAGGAGTAGTTTTGACTCCCATCCCAACTCTCTGGAGACATTTGGCAATTTCTGGAGGCATTTTTGGTTGTCACAAATTGGAGTGGGACACTACTGGCATCTACTGGGTAAAGGCCAGGGCTGCTGTTAAGGATTTTACAGTATACAGGCCAGCACCCATGACAACAAAGAAGTAAAGAAGTCCCTAGTCCTTGATGATAAAGTTGGGAGACTCTGGTGTAAATAGCAGTAAGCCATCAGTGAATCTGCAAGTAGGGGAATGGAGTCATCAGAATGGTCAAGACTGATTCAGTGGCACTGTGTGGATAACTTAGAAGGTAGAAAATGGATGTAAGGAGTCTCCTCATTGGCTTGTTTTTTCTAGAAACATTTGAGGGCCTGCTATGTACAAGGCATGGCACCAGGCATGGTAGGGTAGAAAGATGAGTAAGTGACAGTTGTAGTCTCTGGACGCTTTTAATCTAGTGGGCTGGGGTGGCTGTAGAAGTGGTGGTGGCTAGTAGGAGACTTGTAATCAGAACCTGTTGCTCCCCATGCCTCTCTCTCTCATCTTGTGACTACCCTACAGACTCTGGGCTTTCTCCAGCCCTTTTTCTGGGCTTCTAGTCTCTCTTACCTTTTCACCTTGCTCTGCCTTCTTGGCTCTACATATTTTCCTACAAGTAGTTTCTTTCTTTCATGTGTAAGCCTATGAGACTGTATTACTACTCCCAAATATTTCCCCTGGTAATTTTAATTTTCTGCTCTCAATTTTAATCCTTTTCACAAAGATTCAAAGATCGGTAATATAAAACCAAGTGTGATAATGTGATATAATCAGGGATTCTTGTTTTCTTTTTTAATTTGATTACTTATGGATTTACTTTGAATTGTCACAAGTTGCTTTGAAGTATCATGTTTTGATAAATTTTGTTGACATAATTTATGAATAATATTGAACAGCACTTTCTACAATACTCCCATATAAAAGAATGCCGTGAAATTGTTTTGAAGTAGCTTTTCCTTTCCTGCTCTTTTTTTTTTTCTCTTGGTGATTCTATTGTTGTTGTCAAAGACCCTCTTATAATCCTGTCAATTGCAGGGGTTTCTAGGGGTGACTTGTAGCAGCGTTACCTGGGGTTTCTGCCATGAATTCTGCCAATACAGTGCTCCAGGATTTGTCTTGAAACTAACCTTTTTTTTTGGAAACCAGTAATCAAATAAACAAATAAACAAAACAAAACAAAACAAATCAAATCTCAGAAGCAATTGGGAAGAAGCATCAAGGCTTCTGAAACCCTGGGGTGCCTGTGTTGGGATGCTACCTTACAGGTAGAAACAAACAAAAAGTTTGCCATTTCATGGACTTTTCTTCCCCATAGATGATTTATTTTCATTAAATTGTCATTTTATTTTCACTAAATCATCAATTAGTAATAATAGCTTATTTGCTTCCTGCTTTGCAATTGCCTACATTTTAAGTTTGCAACATCTGTTTAAAGTAAGGAAGGCAGGTGATTGCCCTCCCTTGCTTTATCTAATATTTATATATTTTTGTTCTATTAGTAGATAATAAATACACATACCACAACATAAAATCAAGCAGTACAGAAGAGTATAGAAGAAAAATAAGTCTTGAGAGGCATTCTTAGGAAGAAAATATCCATGGTAGAAATCAAGAACAGGGGGATATTTGAGGTGGGTCTAAAAGAAGGAGTAGGATTTTAACAAGAAGGCCTAATGGGGTGGAGGTGGAGTGGTGGCTGCTCAAGGCAGAGGGGATAGCATGGACAGAGGGGCACAGATGTTGATAGAGGTAGACAAGAAGTTTGGGGCATGTCTTTAGCAGTACTGGGAAGCTGGGTAGCCTATGGTCAGCATGGAGGGCTAGGTGGGCAGGGGTGAGGGAGAGAGATGAAGGTTTTTGAGCAGGTATGAAACCAGAGATGCAGTATAAATGATGTATGGAAGTCTTCACAGTAGGAGACTGATGTAAGAGTGGAGTCTCATGCCAGGAGGGCCTGCATGAGGAGGGTGCTACTGAGACCAAGAAAGAGGCCATGGGTGTCTGTGTGGATGGTACAATCTTCAGACCATCACCATTGGTTAGCAGGTGGGTAGCAAGGAAAGGGAGACTTTGGAGATAGTGCTGTCTTCTGGAGGAAGTCAGGACATGAACTGTGTGAGCAGAGCAATGCTGAGCTGAAGAGAAAGTGTGGTCTCTGCTGCGCTGGGAAGAGTCAGAGGTCCTGGGCTAGGAATGCATCTGTGGAGCACAGATGGTTGCCAGTCCCCTCTTCAGATACCTAGGAGCCTCGAGTGCCAGGTCTGGGCGGAGGTGCAGCACTTGGCCTCAAGTGTCACTGTGTGAGGCTGAGGGGCAAAGCCAGAAGCCATGTCTCCAGCAAAATCCATCTATTGATCACCCATCTGAAGGTCTGGGCTGAGAGGGGGACCTTAAAGAAGGAGGAGCAGGACTGCAGGCAAGACAGCCAAATGGCAGGGTGGGGGATGCTTTAGATGGGGTGGGTAGTCTGAGATTGGGTGCACAGTGCTCATAGGTTTAACCCTTAAGCACTTGATGTAGTGTGGTAAGTCGAGGACTGTGGAGGTACAGAGTTAGGGGAGAGTGGCTTTACACAAGGAGAAAGGGACTTTTTCTTAGCCAATGACTAACACTTCCGTGTCACTAATGCCACTTCTATGCATCTAGGAACAAGGGAGAGAAGTGAAGTTTCTTGGTCTCTGCACACATCTCTTACAATAACATACCTCCCTAGGTTTGAGGGCGAGAACACTTCTCACTGGTAATCATTATTTAGTCATTATTCTTTTCAAGTAGAGTGAGTACACTAGTATTTTGCAAGGATTTTTGAGAGCAAAGTCATTTTTGGCTATAGCTATATTAAAAAAGTGAATTTCCAAATGGGTTATTTGGGGCTGATTTGCAAATATATTAAAGCCTTGGCAACTTGTAGAAGTTACGAAATTTATTAAAAGAATCACAGCACTTTTTCTTTCCCTTTAAGGATACTCATAATCCCTTAGAAGCCACAAATGATTCAAAGTACTGACTGCTCTAAAAATTAAGTCCACCCACCATAAAATGAAAACTCACATTTACGGTTCTGCTAAATCATTCTCCTATTTCTCTCTCTCTCTCTCTCTCTCTTTTTAGACAAACTACTGACTACTGTAGAAAAAAAGGTCATGATTCATGATTGAAAGCTGAACAATGGAAATGAAATAAGGCAAAATAGAGTTGGAAACAGAAGGAAGTCATTTGCTGAGACTGCAGAATGGAATGCGGCTTCTGTCCTTTTTTGCGATGGCTAAAACATAACAAACAGGGTGATCTGTTGTACACACTATCTTTACAAGGGAGATGGTGATCTCTCCTTTTTTCTGTGGATCAGTGCTATTGTGTGTTCTCAGTTTAAGATAGCAGATCATCTCAGCAGTAAGCACACCGACAGAACTGAGTTCCAGAAAGGAAGCAGTTTCTGGTGCTTTGCATATGTCCAAATCCATGCAAGTGGGAGAATGTTCCAATGCACACTTCCCATGCTTCTGAGTCTAGGCGTTGTGGTGAATATGCAGGAATCATTCATGAGACAGAATGTATTTTGTTGTATGACAGAAGGGTTTTCCAAGCAAACTGCGGTGAGCATAGTGTTGAATATGTTGCATGTCCATGTTAAGAAAACAGAATCCAGTCATCAGCTAATACAAATGATTTCCCAGAGCAGTGTTTGTTTCAAGCTTTTGTCAAATAGTTTGGCTTTTCTGCGGGGTCTCTGTGATATCCCCACCAATGTACTTTTCTTGTTAACTCACTTATTATGGTATAACTCAGGAACAAGATGGAGAGACGCATACAACTTGAACAAAGCTTTTTCTTGTGCTCTGAAGGGTCCTGAGAGGTGAGGGGCATGTCTCCTGGGAGGATTTTTATCTTAGTGAAGTGCAAGTGGTACCCAACTGCATTGTAATTAACATGATTATTGGCATGTTTTTGACTCTCATTTCTACAAGGGTGCAGTGGGCCCACCCATGGGCTGTCCTATAACGTATGTTATGTGGAAGAAGTGTGGGAATAATGGGTTTTTCCATGAAAGGTTGTGATGCCTCTGGAGATGGGGCATAAACATGTTCATTCTTGTTGAGCTGCATTGTATTAAACCAAATTGTGTGAAGCGAGGTCACCGGGACCACTCTTGCGAAATGCTTCAGAACACCAGTCTGTTCCTTCTAGAGAATTTGTTTTTGTGTTCTCTGTATCTTAAATCAAATGTGTGCCTAAGCAATTCTGTCCCCTGATTCCCACCCCCACCCACCAAAAAATGGTAGACATGAAAGGCAGGTAAAGAAACAGAAAAGGTCTCTTTGTGGATATATATATTTTTAAATGGCACTAAGGAGACAGAAGGACAGTAGAGGAGAATAGATGAGTACCTTTACCTAGAAGGGGAGAAATGAATGCAATTCTTTATTTGATGAGAGAGAACTGAAAGAGAATATTATTTTCCTACCATAAAGCAAGCTGTCCTCTCACAGGATAAAGTGGAATTCTGACATGGATTATGGACTTCTAACTCCTATTGACATTGCTTCTTACCAGACATGGGGAAGGGCTACCTTTCCTGAAAGGGGAGGAGGGCACTGTCCTTTCAGACAAAGCTTGTATAAATTCCTGAACCGCAAATTTGCTAAAGTGACCGTATATACTTATATTCATACTTTAAATGATTATTTATGGTCAAATACATATTGTTAAACTTGAAAATGTTTTATTACATTACATCAAATAAAGTTTATTTGTAGCTGAAATAAAGCAATGCAAGTAAAGATTTTTAATTAAAGGTTGTATGTCATACATATTACTGTCTGCTGAATGACTGAAGGGCAAACACTTTACATGTTTGCTAAAATCCAAACAGGTAGTTAAGACAGCTCTGGATTTAATCACATTTCACTGTGAGGATTCATTCACTTAGTGACTTTTTATTTTTAAAACAATGACTGTTCATTAGTTGATCTGATTAATGAGCATTGCTTGGGCTCCTGCCACATTCACCTCTGCAGGCATTGAGGGGACAAAGATGGGTATGGCACAATCCTTGCTTTTAAGGAGTTTGCCATCAGGTAGAAGGCAGACATGTCTTGGTTTGTTACAATATAGTATAGTAAGAGCTATAGCAGGTTTTACGGAGTGGCATTTTTCTTTCCTATAGTATAAGACAGGGCACTATGGTTAGGTGGATTGATTCAGGTTTTCAAATGTGTTGTTTAATTTTTTATTAAGACCTTCATGATTCAAATTGGCCGTTTGTCTTGCCTGACATGAATGCCCGATTATTGAACTCTGTTTCATTCTACCTACAGAGGCTGAGCTTCCTGTGTATACTGTGCTTTAAATATATGGCAGCTAAATGAAAGGAAAAAATAGAAATGGAAAGGGAATGATAAAAATAAATCATTAATACAATTTCACATATGACATAATTTGTTCCAAAGACACAGCTTTTGTTTTAACTAAGAATTGGGAAAACTCATTGAAACGAACATTTTGTATATAATGACTATTCAAGCAAGAATGACTATTCCTCTCCTCACTCACAGGGTATCAGCTGTCATTTTCTGGCAAGGCCGAGTATTGGGAAACCATGCTTGAGAAGTAAAGCACTTACTTGTAAGAGATAACTGAATCACTGTTGCCTTAGCATTTAAGTTTATTCTGTAAATGTTAAATAGGAGACACTCAACATTCCTAGGTTTTTAGCAACTGTTCAATAACTGAAAACATCGATCATGTTGTCATGGGCTTGATATGCTTGTGCATGTATTTGACGATCATATTTTTGTGTAGTTTTATTAAGTTCATTGATTGCAGGCAGTAGGTCAACAATATGAATGGAATTGAATAGAAAATGCATGCCATTTTTCAAATAGTTTATGCTAATATGATAATTGTCTGAATTATCATCTGGAGATAGTGGGAATTTCCCTTTCAGTGTTTTGATTGTCAATTGAGTTTTCAATTTAATGGCTGTAAATGTTTCTAAATATTAGAGTTTTAAAAAATTGTTCATGCTCCTTCTGATCTCAGGACCTTCACACATGCTTCCCTTCTTGGTCTGCAATATTCTTCCTGATCTCATTTGTTTGATGTATGTTTTCATTATTGGCCAGTAAATCTTCAAGGGTAGGGACCATGTCTTTTTCTCAGCAATATGCCCATTACCTAGCACCATCCTGGCAGCACATATATGGTAGGCCCATAATAGGTATGTCTTAATGGGAAAGAAGGCGGGAAGGAGAGAGAGGCAAGAGTTGACTGGCACCTTTAAAAAATGTTTCTATGAGGAAACAGAGAAGACTTGCTATTATCAAGTGACATGCCCAGTGAATGGAAGAGAAGGAACTGGAATTAAGCTATTCTGTGTGCTCCTTAGGTCAGGCCCTCCACTACACGGTCCTGCTTCTCTTGCATGAGTTAGTTACTCATATCATGAGAGCATCCTTTTCTTAATTTTCTGCACTAGTGGAGCAGAGCCATGTATGTGCTATGGCCCATATGTTGAAACTTGTTTATCTACAGCTAGCCAGATGGTCTGTAACAACACACAAAGAAGCCATTTGGAAACTTTCAGAGGGTCAGCATGTTTTGAAAACACTCAGAGTAATACATATTGTGATGTCATTGCTTACTTTAAGCTTACAGTAAGGAATATCTTATTAGGTACTGAATGTGAAACATGCAGACTTTGAGAACTAACTCAGAGGTTCTAGCAGAAATGTATTTAATTGGATCACCCTTTAGATTTGTTTTGTCTACATGTTCTGTGAAAAAGGAATATAATATCTTAATATAAAATACTTTGTTTTCTAAGTTTCTGCTGGGTTAAAAACATTTTTTTTTTTTAAATAGAACCTGCTTCTGCAGCACATGTTGAAAAGATGTGATGTGGTCATCGATAAAAATGTAAAAGAAAATTTACTATGGCTGATGTGAAACATAAAGTGAGAGAGGTTGACAAGTATCAGAAGCAGATTTGCAGCTAACAGTTCTGTTGAGTCTTTGGCACTTCAAAAAAGCCAAGATGAAAGAATTACACCTGTATGAGTGGAGGAGAAAAATGGTAATCTAAAATAGCAGATGATAAGAAATATCTGGGATTTGTCTTTGATGTGGTATTTTGGTGCAAAATTACCTTTTCCTAATTACATTTTGATTGGGCTATTATTAAAATGTTCTGTATTCTTTAAACCCACACAATCTCACAGTAGGAGGTGGTTGAGTGTTATAATGAGAGGCAGCAGAAAGTCAGCTGTATATATAAAAGTTTGTTATGGTTAATTCACAAAGTGCATGATCCATTTGTAGGAAAAATGAGCTCTAACTATATCCACAGACAATGACAGAGCTGGAGAATCTCATGGATGATCTAATACAACCCTCTACTCTTCTGCAGGTGAGAAAACACTAAAACAGGGGTCCCCAAACTACGGCCTGCGGGCTGCATGCGGCCCCCTGAGGCCATTTATCCGGCCCCCACCGCACTTCAGGAAGGGGCACCTCTTTCATTAGTGGTCAGTGAGAGGAGCACAGGATGTGGATGCATCCTGTGCTCCTGGAGTACTGTATGTGGCGGCGTCGCAAAGCGTGGCATTGCTCACATACAGTACTACTTCTGGTGACACGGGACACACGCATCACGGCTCCGGAAGCGTGTCATATGACGCACATCTGGTCTGCGGCTGCAGTGCCCCACATCACTGGAAGCAGTGTGAAATAACAGCAGAAGTAGGAAGAAAGGCAAAGCACTATAACCATTACTACACAGTACAATGGCCCCCATAATCCCCCAAATGTACAACAACATAATGGCCCCTATAACCTCCCTTTGCCCAAAAGTCTCCCCCCACATTACTACACACCATGTTCCCCCTATTATAAGATCCTGTCTTATATTAATTTTACCCCCAAAAGATGGGGGCTGTCTTATTTTTAGGAGGTGTCTTATCAGCGGGCTTCCCACAGAAGAGGCCCACCGCTGCTGCAGATGTCCAGGACACTGTATACACAGTGTCACAGGCTGATCACTGCCATCCCTGTATACAGCACTGGAGGTGGTGCTGGGCCAGTGACACTGTATACCGCTATCTGGGATAATGGAGGCAGCAGTGCTGGCTGTGAAGGGTGTCACACCTTGCGTAGTCTGGCCCTCCAACGATCTGAGGGACAGTGAACTAGCCCCCTGTGTAAAAAGTTTGGGGACCCCTGCACTAAAACACTAGAGCTGTGTTTTGTCTGAATTTGTTTAAAGGAGTATAATATATAGACCTGTGCTTTGCTCTGTATATTTAATATTTGGCAAAGAAATAATTTTTAAAATCTGTCACATAGCTATGCATTTTTAAATGTAATTAAAATGAGTTATAAGAAAAATGCGACCAGGTGCAGTGGCTCACACCTGTAATCCCAGCAGTTTGGGAGGCCAATGCAGTGGCTCACAAGGTCAGGAGTTCAAGACTAGGCTGGCCAAGATGGTGAAACCCTGCATCTACTAAAAATACAAAAATTAGCTGAGTGTAGTGGCGTATGCCTGTAATGCTAGCTACCCGGGAGGCTGAGGCAGGAGAATCGCTTGAACCTGGGAGGCGGAGGTGAGCTGAGATTGCGTCATTGCACCCCAGCCTGGGCAACAAGAGTAAAACTCTGTCTCAAAAAAAAAAAAATTAATTTACATTCCCACCAACAGTGTAAAAGTGTTCCTATTTCTCCACATCCTCTCCAGCATCTGTTGTTTCCCGATTTTTTAATGATCGCCATTCTAACTGGTGTGAGATGGTATCTCAATGTGGTTTTGATTTGCATTTCTCTAATGATCAGTGATGATGAGCATTTTTTCACATGTTTGTTGGCCTCCTGTATGTCTTCTATTGTAAAGTATCTGTCGTGGACCGTCCGGATGGGTAGGCACGTCTGCCCGGGGGTCTCTCGACCTGCAAGAGGGTCCCAATACCTGGAAGAGGGAGTGCGCCTGAGAAAATAATAAAGACAGAGAGAGAGAAAGCGAGGCGTCTGGAGGGCTGATAGGCTGTGCCTAAACAGCAAATTTTATTTTTCAAATGCCAGGAATAAATACACTTTCTTGGCTCTGGTTTACGTCATAGCAAGAGGAATGTAAATGTATGCCTCACATGGCCTATACAATAGAGAAATCAGATACACAATGGTTGCAAGAGGAAATGCAAATGTATACCTTACATGGCCTATACAATTGAAAAGTCAGATACACAATCAGTGGTTGTAAAAAGTAACAGAATTTCCTGTAATCACAAAGCTTGTTTGCATCCAGACATTATTCCTCCTGGCTGCAGGTATCTCCGGTTTGATCTTGTTTTAGAACTGAGATGTGAAAAGTTTTTCTGGTTTTGCTCATCAGAATATCCTTTAACCGGATTCTCCTTTGTCTACTCCTAACTCAACTTAACTCAATTTCCCCATTCAGGAATCTCTGAGTCAGGAATCAAAGCCATCCCTTATGGTGGCATTTGCTTTGCAAATATCGACAGTTAAACCATTAGGCAGTCAGGTAAGTAAAGAAAAGGTTAAAACTTATTCTTAAAAGAGAGTCATAAAAAAGGTTAAAAAGCAGGAACTGGTTGCTGGTAGGGGGTCACTCGGTCTAGCAGCAACGCATAGTTTTAGGCCCAAACGATATTGTGGTTGATATTAGAAACTGATCAATCATCTTTCAGTTCCTATATTCTGGATAGCTCGACTGCCTCCAGTAGGAAACTGTGTTTGGGATCAAACTCACCATATAGTGAGACTCACGCCTTTTAGG